AGGACAAGTTATACAAATACTGCTAATGATGCTCCAGAGTACCATGTACTAGAGCCTATCGTAAATGACGTCCCTGATGACAGGCAGATGTACCAAACACTATCACGTGACCAGCAACCCGAATATGAAGCTCCAAACTACTCAAAACACACAAGTGATTCAAATATTGACCCCGGTATCCCAGAATACCATGTGCTCGAGCCCATGGACAATAATGTCCCTGACGTGGTGTACGATGTGTTAGAGGGACCTAATCCTAATGATGGACCATCTGGTGACCAAACGCACCTGGCGGTGGACGAACAAACTACCCACAATCCTTTGTACCAGTAGAACAACATTGCTACCGTGACGCAAAACCCACTGTATGTCATTTCAGACAGATAATTGCCTGAAACATAATGAACTTCCTCTAACGATATTACTTAATTTTAACCGTTTTGTAGTGGATTTTTAAATCATTTTAGCCTTTTAAGACTGTTTATCTTGTAATTTGTTTTTGGAAAAAAACCTCAACATTTTAAAACAATTTTCGTAAAATTAGTTCATGTTACTAACAGGGAAGAGCCAGCCTGTGAATCTGTTAATAATTATAATATTATAAGATATTTGTATCATCATTATGTTTATATTACCGTTATCTCCAATAAATCTGATAGTTTAATATCATTATTATTATCAGTTCATATTACGTTTATCTCCAAAAAATCTGATCATAGTTGATCCATTCCCTTCCTCGCTTATCGCRGCTTCTCGTGTTCAATAGTACAAATGGCACCTAAAAGTAGTACAATTTCAATACATACCYTTCATCTGTTGATGCGTTGCGTGTTTGTTTCTTTGTTTCTTTGACGCMTTGAATATAACCCTTGCATACTRAAGTGGATATCCCTCTTGCTAAAACGAAAGGTGATTCCGATAAGATTCTCACAAATAATTTTTTTAGCTGAAAAGAGTCTAAGTCACTCTGAATGAMTTGCTACAATTTCTCCATACTCTACTCCTACATGTCCTTCTCCCTAGAAAATGAATCTACCGTGTAGGGGAGGGGTAGTTATGATGATTCGAAACCAGAAGTAGCACAAGTAGTACCGTACAATAGAGAGTGAAAGTCTTACTGCTGAGATTATTGCACACATTACCGAACCTCCTCTCTCATTTACTGACGATATCGCCTTATTCTACTGCCACGAGCCCTCCCCACCCCCCTCAAGAAAATGAATCTACCGTGTAGGGGAGGGGTAGTTATGATGATTCGAAACCAGACCAGAAGTAGCACAAGTAGTACGTACAATAGAGAGTGAAAGTCTTACTGCTGAGATTATTGCACACATTACCTAACCTCCTCTCTTATTTACTGACGATATCGCCTCATTCTACTGCCACGAGCCCTCCCCCCCCCCTCCCCAAGAAAATGAATCTACCGTGTAGGGGAGGGGTAGTTATGATGTTTCGAAACCAGTCGTAGATCGAGTAGAACGTAGCATAGAGAATGAAAGTCTACTGCTGAGATACAAAAACATCTCTAACACGAAGAGAAATAAGTGGAAGGTGACCGTCTCGTGTTCTTGGCCACTYACACGACTATGTATCCGTGGTGTTGGTTCGTTTTTGTGATTCTTCTACAAACAGCAGTAGAGAATAAAGGTAAGATCTTGTGACATGTTGAGTGTTAGAAGTCATCATGAGACCCGCATTTCTAACACACAATTTCCACGTTATATATAGTTGTCTAAACAGGAATATAAATAGGTATCTAATGAAAACTTAATGGCTAAATATACCGTTATATAATATGTATACGCAATGGTACGCAATCTTAGGTCGTTTTGAACTCTCCGTATGGAGTWCTACTTATGGTGCCAAGGGTGATGTACAGTCAAAATGTTTGCCTTTATCCAATAACCTGAGTCTATTCAGTTCGGGCTATTTCGATTTCTAAGACGACAACGTGACTATAAAATTTGCTTGATGTGTTGTTCTCTCATTGCAATTCAAAAAATATTCATTTGGTTAGTGATTTGGAATGTGATTTTTTTGAAATTTGAAAGTCCATAATAATTTTGATCAATTAAATTGATAAACGTTTTGTATATGTTTAATCATTACAGCTAGAAAATTTAGTCCTTAATACTTTAATATGTTGATAAACGATTTCTCTTTAGTACGTCATATGAACTGACTCAGGCTGTCGAGCATGCGTTAGAATAATTCAGTCATGTTGTTTCAATATATCCTCCGTTATCCTCAGGCCCACCATCATGGCCTTATGGTAAATATACTCTACTCAGACCGATCAGATTGTCGCGCATGCGTTACAATAATTTAACGTTGTTTATATATATCCTCTATTATCCTCAGGCTCGCCGCCCACATGGCCTTATGGTAAATATACCCTTCTCAAGCCCAGGACAGGATGTCCTGCAGGATGGGATGACATGGGATATCTTTACCAAGACACAATGAATAAAAACCCAAGTAATAACAGATCACAAACTTTACACATTGATGGAGAAGTAGCTCGTAGCCACGTGAAAAGATATTTTTGCAGCAAGACAGAAAGAATGGGCAAAAATATCACCCAAGTTTGGCCATTAGGTCAGTCGATGTAGAAAAGTGTTAGCAGTTTTTGTTTACGAGCTAGTGTGCTAAAAAAAAAATAGCCGATGCCGATCGGTAATCGACATCAGCCAGAGATAGCAGACTTACTATAGCTTACTATTCATATCTTAGAGTTTATTTCACGGGAGCAGCACATGTAGTAAATGTAAATGCTCGTCCTTGGCCACGAAGGCAATCCCGAGCTTACTCTTTCATATTTTTATCTTATAGGACAATTTTGTGTATACAGTCGCGTAAGCGAGACGTTGTATGGCATGACAAGTGGGTCGATTGCTATGTATGACAGGGGAAATAACTACGACAAAGATCAATCTAAATTTACAAAATTCTTTGAGTTTCTTAAAAAGAAGATATTCGGATCATACGAAGTCACGAGGTTGTATTTTTCCTGTCAAACAAGTGGTGACAAAAAGATTCCAATCTCGTTACCGATAACCAAACCCTTTTATCTGCTGCCTTATGGGTCACGTGACTGTCAACAAGTCAAATGGATGGTAGC